TAACACGGAGAAATACCTAACAATGGAGAAGGCGCGAACAATGAATGGAATGGACTGGGTTTGATCGTATGGCATGGCTCGGCCATGCAGGCGTGGTCCATCTCAATGTTACTTTATATCTTCTATTCATATTAAATATATTGTTCTTTCTCTAGCCTAACCTTGTTCTAGATCATGTATTGGTAATTGATACGATACAGTGAGTTGGTGTAGTCGATGGTGTGACTTCCACGTAAGATCTTATAGATTAGGCAGTTATATCATGACAAATCTACAAATTTAGGATTAGGTCTATTATTAGAACAGTACTAATATAATGGTAGACCATAATTCTACATTGGTGAGCCCAACTAAAAAAACGCAACCCATTACTGTTAATCCTTATTTCTACCTTAACCTCAATCGGTTTTTATTTTTGTAAACCCAGTATTCGTATAGTCCTTTGATTAATGGTCACATATATTATCGTAATGTTATATCTATTAGTTCACATAACTTAATAGGTCAATCGATAATAAAAGTTCGTCATCTATATCAACTAATTAGCTTTGATGGTTCGTTAACAAGCTTTAATAGCATTTACATGCTTCAGCAACATAGACTTGTTTAAACATCAAGCTCTAGCAAATATGACCTGTAAATAGCGTAAATATACATTGACTAACAATACAATCAAGGACTGAATAGTTATCTGGATCTAATTCTCAATGTTTCTTCACTTAACACCTCATCCTGTTTTAAACTACGCACTATCCTGTAATATCTTTTCTTCCGACCACTGCCTGCCTAATTTCATATTCTCGAGTTCTATTGCCAAACAACAAGGATGACACTTCTCCGTAAAAAATACCGTGAGTTCCAGCTATAAGTTTTCTGCAATCATAAGTTCATTTTAGATGGCTCATTCAATGACACACACAATTATCTGGATTCATTCAGTTGTTCTGATCAGAGCGAGTCCCAAAAACCTCAACAGAATCAAGCACCCTGGAAGTGATTGCCATACTGCTTGTTTTATTCTGGATGCTTTTGGATCATTTCTACTCCTCACGAATGGCGTTATATATGTCGTCCACTGAATAATCTAATTTTCAAAAATAATCCAGGCGAGTTCAACTATTTTACTTAATGATTTTTTGTACTTAACATGTATATGCTTTCCAGCTGCTTTTGCCACATATTTGTAAGTGTCCCTAGGCTAAATGCAGTAACTTCTTATGGAATGTTTATAACGCGTTACATTCTTGCCTGAAGTTTCATAAGCAGTCTTGACTTTAAAATTACTTTTCCTGGTCATGTTCATCATTTTTAAATTTTTATATACGTCAACAACCTGCATGTTAACGTGGCCCGTACATACGTTACACTATATCTTCATATCTTTTGAATTTAGAAATCATCTGAATCGCCTTTAACATTTATCAATAAACTCATCATAGTCGTTGTTGCTAATCGTATTTGGGTTTATGGATTGGTTTATCGTACTAGCAGCCTAAAATGCGAACATAGTTTAGGTGATAAGATTAAAAATTTAGGTACTATCAACTGCACTAGTAAAGTAACTAAATCCCTAGGTAGCTGTTAGCTAAACAAACGTTTCAAATCAAAACTCTGTAGCCTACTAGAATTAACACTAAACGAATATTTCGGAATTGGAATTTATAAATAAATTAGGCGTCTCGGATTCTTTAACGTTATAAATTTCTGATAATTTCGAATCACCTAAAGCAACAATACCTACTTTTCCACTGACTAATCCTCAATCAACACTATAACTAGTTAAACATAATCGTTCCAGGATATCGTCATAAAGCATTGTCATGACTTGACAATCACGTAATATGATTGATAAAATTAATGAAACTACTAACAAAATCGATCAGTAAATTGACTTATAATTATCATTAGTGTTGTTTTTCTTTTATCTCCATTCACCACAGATGATTACAGTAGGTTTCTCTATCAGTTGCTCATTCAGTAAATATCTCAAAACCTTGTCAGTCTAATTGATGGTATAGCGACACAATCATGCATGCAAATAATCAGTATAAGCAGTCGAGCAAATCTCCTGCAAACTGAAAACATCAATGTCGAATTTACCCCAACACTGACTAAGGTTCAAGCCATTATCATAGACATGAGTTGGGAGTGTACTCCCCCTGGTTACAACTTATGTTCTCCCTGTTAATCACATGAGCATCACTCACTATTAATCATCTTGTAAAAACTTAGTTAGCTAAATACATCTTGCAATACCACATCACTTCGTAATATGACACAGGCCTAACTGATTTTAATAACTTATAACCACTATATCTCAATTAAATCGTATTCCGCCTTATGATAAACTGCATACTTGCAACTAACTTGTATGCCCAATTAGCTGGCAAGTATAAATATAAATAAATAGTCTGCCACAGATCAGAACATTGAGTCTAGAGCATGTCTCTTACGAATACACTCATGTTTAACGATTTTTCCTAGCTATCTGTCCAAAATTCATATAATTATCATGTACTTAAATTTTGTTTTGATAACCATTCATGTGTATTAGTAGTATTACTAAATTCTATCACGGTCAAGTAAAAATGAGGTTGAGAAAATCTCCCCGTAACCAAATAAACCGTATCAAACTAACTGGAACACTAGTTGGAATTCTTCCCCACGGTATACTTTTGTTCATTCAGTTAGCCTACTAATACATATGCAGTTGGAAATCAACTCATATGGACAACTTACCGGCATAATCGTTATTTGATTTCATGATTTAAACCAAAACTAATGCCCATATTAATATTTCTACAACATTCATTACTTTAATACTTCTAAACACAAAATACTTACTACCTATACGTTAAGTTATTAACCAACGGCTATTAACACGCATCGTTTTATTATTATTATTATTATTGTAACCCCATTTTTTATAGCCCAAATAATATTCACCCAAATTTTCATTTCAAGCATGTTAAGCTTGAAGGCAGATATTTTAAAATTATTACATGTATTTCCCGACCAGATGCTGCCGCTTTCTTTTTGATTTATCTTTCAGCTTACCAATACCCGGAGGATTCTTATTATCCTTGGTAACCTCCAGCGCGCGACGATCCCATCCAATTTGGTATCGAACCAACATCACGTTGATTCTGGTGGGAGAGTAGTGTAGTGGCATTGGACCATAACTACACAATCTTCAAAGCTGAACACAAGACTACTCAGAAAATAGATATTCAATATTTAACACGGAGAAATACCTAACAATGGAGAAGGCGCGAACAATGAATGGAATGGACTGGGTTTGATCGTATGGCATGGCTCGGCCATGCAGGCGTGGTCCATCTCAATGTTACTTTATATCTTCTATTCATATTAAATATATTGTTCTTTCTCTAGCCTAACCTTGTTCTAGATCATGTATTGGTAATTGATACGATACAGTGAGTTGGTGTAGTCGATGGTGTGACTTCCACGTAAGATCTTATAGATTAGGCAGTTATATCATGACAAATCTACAAATTTAGGATTAGGTCTATTATTAGAACAGTACTAATATAATGGTAGACCATAATTCTACACATTCATTCATAACTTCCTAAGTAACACAACAACTGTATTACCGAAACGGAGTGAAGAGTATATAATATTTGTGAACTCTATAACAGACACATCACAAATCAGTATTAACTAAAAAACATGGTTGTATCACCATTCTCACAAGAAACACCGATCGTTTTATTCATGAAGATTTTGTTCCTACTTGATGTGGTGTTATACACTATTACTGCAGAGATTCAGAAAGCCGCAGGACAACACTATAAACGTCAATTGTTACTCACATATTTTTTTATTCGTTACATAATTATGTCACTTCAGTACAAAACAATGGTACCTCTAATGGATATAACTTTTGATGGCTAAATACAAACAAGTTATATAATATTCACAATTAGGTTAACGCTTGATTGCTTCTACTTACATTTAATAAACAACTACCGACATCCATGTTCACCGTCACCGCAATCAAGGAGGTGAACCATATGGAAAAGATTTTACGGTTCATTTTCATGAAAACTCAATCTGTGATGTATTTTTTGACTAGAAACACGGTGAACTTTACTTGCTTGAGTTTGTATTGTTACAAATAACTATATTAAGCTAACTTCAGATTTACTTACGTGGTGAGCAAGAATTACGTCAAACTGCCAATAAATTGGAATAAAAACTATGTTACAAGCACTAGCAATACAGAAATTGATGTGTCATGCAAAAAAGCCTATTAATAGCTGATAAATAACGACACAAAAAATCCACGACAATATGTAACGTGTGCGCGAAAATCCGTGGCTTACCCGCCAGTCCGTGCCGTAAAATCGTATAATCTAAGTTAATGGATTATAAAGATCTAGGAGCCATTATAAGTAACGACCCCAGAATCACATGTAACTGTTGAGTTAAGACTGCTAAAGGCTTCAGGTCTTATGGTTTATCCTCAAGCCATTTGATTTCTTGAACGAATAAATATCTAGGGTATTATATCTGACTTTTGTGAGGTCGCACTCATGTAGCGATTCCCTGTTTCAGATATGAAGCGGATATGCTGTGACCACTTCAATGGCGAAGGGTCGAAATGGTGAGTAGTCTCTCAGTGCCTTCTCTCAAAAAGGAAAATTGAGACGTCTCAACCTATTTCCGACAACTTATCACATGTTACGAGTTGACTTAATGCTGGCTTGCCGTATACGGAATGATGATTCTCGTATGAACGTTCTATCTTTATCTTTCATCTGGCGCTGGTCACCTAACGGATGTCCTAAGAAATTTCAGAAACCGAGAAACAATCGTTTACGTCTGGAGTTCATTTCGGGGTTTATCTGAGAAAACACGTAATATCAGCACCTTCTGCTGATAAATTCAAAGCGAGATTGAATCTTCACGGCACTAAAAACTTCAATGATTAATATATGTCAATTGGCTTTTTATTCCTTAACTCAATGAAACCATTTAACGGACCTGTTGACCTTGTTGCAAATCGCGGTTGTTGTGGTAATTGTGATTGTCATGTTTTGCATTTCCTTGTGATATATTTCTGTGATGTCTGACACTGTTTATCAACTAAACTAAGACTGTATAAAAACAACGCCGTATTTCCTATAGTTGTATTATTAGCTTCAATCCTGTCATGTTCACTTGATCCTAACTTTCGGTTTTATACTTGATTACCTCAAACTTTGTGATGTACAGTGATGGCTGCGTAGATTCCACCGTCAAAATAAATATTATTGTTCACGATGAAGGATATAGAGGAACTCGCTCTAAGGACGTTTCTCCTTTAAAATTTAGATAATGCTGTCCACTCGACCTCACTTAACCAGAACTGTGTCTGAAAAGTTGACGTCTCATATCTGGAGGCTTGTCAAATCTTCTATTTGTCTTGTAAATATATCTATAACAGGTTCAAGATCGAAACAAGGGCCTTCAGAATAGTTCTCAACAGTTGTCAGTGCAAGTTATTGCTCACATTGTCCTTCTCTTTATCATACCGCTGTTTTACTTTATCTCGTGTCGTAAAAGTAACCGTGTGCTGCGATGTCGTTAACGCCTGCGAGTTCTTTCTCGCTCTTGCTCAGCAATGACAATTGGCACGTGACCACACCTACTGTCGCAAAATAGGAACTTGCGAGGACTCCTTTTCGTGCCAGCCCCAGTGCTAACCTGAAGACCAGCTCCGGCTTCATGACGTAAGATAAATGTCTAAGAGATGTTTTTGACTTGTTATCCATTAGCCTAGTTGTCACTGTCATCTAAGATGTAAATCGACTGTTGAATAAATCATCTAGCTTACAAATCTGCCCATTATATCCTGATGAAGATATGTCTAATACTTCAGTTTACTAATAAAACTGTAAACTTGATACTCTGCCACCAAGCTATCCAGATCCATTATCAAATGCAGGGGTTTTCTATTTAGCCATTTCTCTTACATTCGTAGATACGGTCGTTTCATATTTGTTTAAAATTACGTGCACTTTTGAGAACCTATAAGACCGAAGACAAATTCATACCTGACTTACCCACCTAAAATCTTGCTACTAAAATGCGTTCGTTGATGTACCAAGCGACAATAATAAATCTACCATGATTGAACGTATTTATAGAAATAATAAGCTTACTTTGCAATTGGAGAAATCGGTGCTTTTAGCAGTCTGAACTTCAAATATTCAACGCGATCGTATCCAGCCAGGATTTTCACGACATGAACAAAATGACACAAGTACTTAGATTTGCGCCCCACTGCATCTCTTCAAAAAGTTAACAGTAGTGATACACTTATCATTTTTGTTTTTGTCTTTGAGAGCGATGTGTTTTCATCATGCAACTTAGTGGTCTTTTGTTCAAATAAATTCTTAAATGAACAAATCAATCTAGATGAAGTAAAAAAACATTTATAAGAAAGTTGTTAATGTTTGTAGCTAGCCGAAACGTTCCAAATCGACACACTATAATTGACCAACTTTCATCCTTTTCCATGTTTTTTTTGTTAATTCGATGTCAACTGAAATACCGAGATATGTCCACAGTGGGACTTAGTTCGATTACATACTCATGATTTCTGATCTTATTCAGTTGTGATGGGTTCTCATTTTTCCGTTATTTTTGATCTTGTCTTTCTCATCGTTCCTCCTTTGCTAATTTCTTGTTGGTTTTGGAGTAATGTGGTAACTTAAAGCGATTTATATTGGTGCCACGTTTATCCATGCCTGTCTGTAAAGGTAGCGATGTTTTATAATGTCTAAGAACAACAATATAATAAATTGAATCGCAGGTCAGCTTCAGTCATATATATGTTGCTGCAATTTAAGCGACGAAGAAAACGGTAACCGACGTCAAAAAGGCTAGGCTATAGATAACAGCTACATCTCTTACCGGTAAAACTCAAATACTTTTCATGAAATCACAAATAATGTAATAGTATACACTGTCGCCACATTTGTTATGGACTATTACTCACTTACTGACAATGAAAAAAACACTGTAATCCTTGAGTAATTGAAAGTCTTTACAGTTTGAAACAATTCTTCCTGGGGCTGGTTCTCTTGGAAGGTGATAGAACTACCAGTTCAATGCTCTTTGTTCACTTATTGCTATTTAAGTAGATATGTAGTCAATAAATTCAGCGAATTAATGGAATTAACGTGATATACCTTCGTTTTACGACCTTTATTAAAACTAAAGTTAGTCAATTTGTTCTATGGTTATTTAACGTCGAACCTAATGTTCAGAGATCAAATTTATCCCAGTACTGTATAAACCATTATTCTCAAATAGTATTTACGTGCGTATTAAGTGACTTTATCTCTCTTCATTACATTTTTGCCTTTTCATTGCTTGATTTCCACACATTTTATATGATAAATAACAGAAAGTTCTCTATCTTGATTGAAAACGATGTTTTAAATGGTTGTTTGCATTTTTCGAAATTGTTTTTCTGGTTTACTTAGATCGACATGATGGACGACTCAGAAACCTACAAATTATGGAGGATTCGAAAAACCATTCTTAAGGTAATTTTACCGGTCAGGCGTTCTGATCAATCTTCACTTAGATGTGCAAAGATAGGGGTTATCTAGTAATGCCTAAAGAATTAGAACAATCACTCGAAGATTTCAAAGCAACAGTCGGAGATCCACCAACGAGAAAGGATCTTCTCATGGTTGTTAACCATGAAGAAGATCCTGCTGATATGTTATATGTGTTCTTTCCAGAAGAAGAGAAAGTTAACATGAAAACTGTCCGGGCATATTTGAATCAAATGCAACAAGATAGTACTTACAGAGCAATTTTGGTCCTTCAAGAAAAGGGTCTCACACCTTCTGCAAAGACAGTTTGTTCTCTATTCTACTAAGTTTATTTATACATGTGTAGGCTATCGCGGAACTTTCGTGTAAATACACTTTGGAGTGTTTCTTTGAAAATGAACTAATGGTCAATATAACGGAACATCAGTTGGTTCCGCAACACAACGTTCTCACACAGGAAGAAAAGAAAGAATTGCTCGAACGATAGTAATTTAGTACTTTTTATAATTCGATGAGAACTTAGTAGGTTAAAGGAAAATCAACTTCCCAAAATGCAAGCTAGCGACCCTGTTGCTCGATATTATGGTCTAAGAAGAGGTCAAGTTGTACGAATTACTCGGCCATCAGAAACAGCCGGACGATATATCACTTATAGGATAGTTTTGTGAATAAAATTGTGTACAGATTCTGAATTTTTGAAATTGTATTTTGGGTCTAAAGTCATACGTACTAGATTATTTCAAATTTATTAATTCATTGCTGCTTTTATTATGTTGTATTAAACAAATAGTCATTGTTCAAATGATCGTTAGTCTGAAAAACTTTTAAAGTTTTTAAAACTGATCCACCTACAGATGTTACTCACTGAAGCTAAAAGAACCTTTCAAGTAATTTGTACTATATTTAATAACTCTGACAGTTCGCTATACAAGTTGTGTTATGGTGGACAAAATTGAATAATTATGCAACTTTTTCATTTAATTTCCGTTCTTCACCTTGATTACCCGTTTGTTAACTGAAAATTTACTCATAGTCATGTTACCTTATTGGGATATTTTGTGTACAGCTAATAACTGTAATATCTTAGTATATATATTCACATAGTGAGTGAGCCATAACAGTTCGTTCTGCAGATATCTATATGGTTGTTGTTCGAGGTTCCGTCTTGTCAGCAAACTGTCAATTCTGTTATTTTATTTTAGTATTTAACTAAATTTGCTTGGACAATGGCTTAGTGTACTACATGTTTATAAGCTTTAGGAAGTCGGCATGAAATCCTCGACCCCTAGGTCATATATAGGTTGGCTCTCTTCTAAATGTACCTGTATCTTGACAACGCTTTTGTCTTCTGCTAGATACACTGACTGCAGCTCAGATGATGTAAAAGATGAGTTTTACAGAAAGCTTTCGGACCTTCTCCGAAAAGCTAAGCGCTCGGATGTAGTAATAGTGGCCGGTGACTTTAATGCTCAAGTAGGTAAACTAAGCGATAAGGAAAGACACCTAGGTGGATCCTATGGTGTCGTGGCTCAAAGAACAGATAATGGCGACCGTCTGTTACAGCTATGTTCAGATAACCGCCTGTTCCTTGCAAATACTAACTTTAAGCATAAGGAAAAACATCTTTTAACATGGCGACCCCCTAATTCGTCCCAACGTTGGACCCAAATAGATCACATCGCTATCAGCCACCGATGGAGGGGCTCGATAGAAGACTGTCGCTCATTCTGGAGCACATGCCTAGATTCAGATCATGCTCTAGTGCGAGCGCGTATTTGCTTGCGTCTTACTGGACGTAGGAAAGATCCTGCAAGTAAACCTCTTAGGGCCCTACTTAATGATAGTCAAGCTAAGAGTATATTTCAGGAACAACTAGGAAAAGAGTTAGGCAGCCATGTATGTGATGCCCACCCCGAGGCAGCATGGAACGATATCCGAAAAGCTGTGGAAACAGCAGTGATATCTGCTAGTAAGGTAAACCGTAAAGTTAGGGAGCAACACTGGATCTCAGCAGCATCTATCGCACTGATAGATGCTCGAAAACTCATTCCACCTGGCTCTGAACATAATGAAGAGCGGAGTGAGCTTAAGCGCAAGCTGACAAGAAGTCTACGCAATGATCGCGAACAGTGGTGGGTAGCGAAAGCAAGAGAGATGGAAAAGGCAGCGGCAATAGGTAATAGCAGACAATTGTTTAGACTCGTTAAGGAAACCGGAATTAGGAAACCGACCGTTAGCGAAACAATCTCAGAGAAAGATGGACATATTATTCATTCTCAATCCAGGAGATTGGATCGATGGGCAGAACACTTTAGGGATCAGTTCAACTGGCCTTCAGCCACACTTCGGTTTCCCACGATCTCCAGTCAACCTGAATGGCAAATTAATGTAAGTCCTCCGTCCCTTTACGAAGTTGAAAAAGCCATAAGAAATCTGAAACGAGGGAGAGCAGCAGGCCCTGACATGTTTACTCCTGAGATTTTTAAGGATGGTGGTCCAGTATTAGCAGCAAGATTAACTGAGGTCTTAGGTAGAATTTGGGAACTGGACGTAATCCCATCTGACTGGTCTCAATCACTGATTGTGCCAGTTTTTAAGAAAGGACAAAAGTCCTCTTGTGACAATCACAGAGGAATCAGTTTGACTAATATAGTGTCTAAAATATTGGCCTCAATAATACTTCGACGCCTAACTAAAGCTCGTGAAGAACAGACTAGAGAAAACCAGGCTGGTTTCCGACCTGGACGTGGTTGTATAGATCAGATATTCACACTACGTCAGGTTCTAGAACAGAGACACACATTCAGACGCCCCACAATGGTAGTATTTCTCGACCTTAAGGCGGCATTCGACTCCGTTGATCGTGAGGTTCTATGGCAGTGTTTGTCACTGAAAGGAGTACCAAAGAAGTACATTAACCTTATAAAGGCTCTCTACTCGAACACAACTGGTAGAGTGAGAGCTTATGGCGAACTGTCATCAGAATTGATCACCTCAAGTGGTGTTCGTCAGGGCTGTCCACTCTCCCCATTCTTGTTCAACTTTGTCATTGACGTACTTTTAGAGATAACACTCTCCTCATCTAAATTTCCAGGGGTTGAACTTCTACCGGGAGGTTCACTTGTTGACTTAGAATATGCAGATGACATAGTTTTATTTGGTGAAGACGCTGACAAAATGCAGAGTCTTCTGACCACTCTAAGCAACAATGCAAGCATGTTCGGGATGCGATTCTCTCCCTCGAAATGTAAAATGTTGCTTCAGGATTGGGTTACATCGACACCCGAACTAGTGATAGGGAGTGAAGTAGTTGAGTGTGTCGACCGCTTTACTTATCTTGGAAGTCTCATCAGCCCTTGTGATTTGGTTTGTGACGAAATCTCAGCACGGATACAGAAGGCTCGACTAGCTTTTGCCAACTTGCGTCATTTATGGCGTAGGCGAGATATCCGTCTATCAACCAAAGGACGTGTTTACTGCGCAGCAGTTCGTTCCGTCCTACTTTATGGCAGTGAAACATGGCCGGTAAGAGTAGAGGATATCCGTAGGTTACTAGTATTCGATCATAGGTGTCTTCGAAACATTGCTCGTATATCCTGGGACCATCGAGTAAGTAACACAGTTGTCAGGAAACGGGTACTAGGTAAGGATGGCAAATCAATTGATGAAGTAGTGAAACTTCATCAGTTGAGATGGCTGGGACACGTGTTACGTATGCCCAACGACCGACTGCCTCGACGTGCTATGTTCAGTGGTATAGGAGTAGGTTGGAAGAAAGCTAGGGGCGGCCAGACCAAAACATGGCACAAGTCCATGAAGTCACTGACAAGTGAACTGAGTCATGTTGGTAGGTGTAGACTACCTGGTTGGGGACCGCGAGATGACAGCAACCGATGGTTAGAGACCCTGAATGACATGGCTCAAAATCGTTCGCAATGGCGCAGGTGCATCCACTCTCTGTGTTCTCCCAAACTCTAATCTTCTGAATTCTTCATGTCCCTTTTTCCGTCTTCCCAAATTTCTTTCACCGGATTATACTCTTTAAATAACATCTCCAAACCCTAATCTTCCCGATTACTGCTTATACTCTTGCTACCTTTACCACTACGGGATTTGAATCGACCACTGCATCTCTGTGCTAATGTGGTGTGGCAACTCGAACTGATGTACGTACGTACGAAGTTCTACGTTGTTACTGACTGACTGACTGACTGACTCTGCTAGATACAAACATCATTATTAGAAATGTTACCACTGTACAGAAAATTTTATCTCCTTTAAACATTAGTATCAAGCTAAACATACTTTAAGTTTTTTTACCCTCAAAATATTAGCCTTAAAATCACAAACAGGAATTCTGGATAAAAGTTCATTCAGCACTATTGATCAATTAACCTGACCTTTCAATACTTGATTAGACAAAATGTTTTCTATTAGCTGCCAAAGAATTACTGATGTAAACAAGAATCTGGATTACTAAAACCATATATTCCTTATTAGGCTCTCCATGGCTAACCATAACATGTTTCATACTCGAATGTATACGAAACGGCATATGTGAAGAACGATTGCCGGGTAGAGATTTACTTCACAATCAAAGTGAGACGATTTTGTCTCGATATACGAAGTTCTTTTGGTAGTACATACTATACTAATCAAATAGTAACATCACTTATTTCATATAATAATGAGAAGAATTTTAAAATACGATAAGAAGGAAAATATTATCATTGCATACGTGTGTCTGTTTATACACACAAGAGAAATTGATACTAATAAGATGAAACAACAAAAAGTTCTAGACAGAACATGATTTTATATTTAGTATACAGCCAGTAGTGGAATCAAGGATGCAAGTTACGTTCTATTCGTAGGTGGTCATCTGAATGTAACCTGATCTTAGTGTCTGATGCTGGCGAGTCATAATATAGGATGAAACGCACATCCTCGATTCGTGTGACATACGACTAGAAATGTATCAAGGCAATGAATAATCCTGAACGCTAACAACGGAAAAATCTTATTAATAGGACATGACTTTAATGATCTAGTGACATAAAGGATGAAAATTTTCGGTGATTGTTGTGTATGTATCAGTGTTATGTTTGGATGAAGAAATATATTTATTGAGATGTATGTACGGGAAACTGATAAATCTTGGTAAATAAAATAAAATAAGCATTTTTAGCCACTGCAAGAAACTATTCCCAAATATATAGACTTCAACACAAACATAGAATGGTATAAGTCGAATTTCACGATTTTATCATGTGGTTAGTTTTAAAACGATAAACATCTGTAATGATGATTCGTTTTGTAACATCCCTTTTTCTTCGATACTTGTTCATGTACGTATTTTAAACCATCATCATTGTCTTTACACTTTAGTAGGTCATAATAATGTAAGTTTGTGACTGAGGTAAGTCGGCAGAGATTTTTGGACCTTAGTTTCATGCTAGTTGGGATTCATCAAACTGATATATACCTTCAGTATAGAGTAGAATGATGCTCCCTATGAGATTCGAACCCGTTTGAACTAGTGTGCTATAACCAGAGATACCACTGTAGTGAACAGAACACGGGTAGGGACAACCGAATGTATTTAACACAAAATTACAGGACTTGCTAATAAAATCTAACAATCATAAAGTAAATGCTTAATTTGCAAAATGTCCATCGATTGTCTCAAAATGACTCAGAATTCATTGTTCTTGCACTTTCATACAAATTGCATTTTGTTTCCATTCTTTGCCGTTCGATTATATTGTCTCTCTGCTTCCAGACCTGTTTACGATTAACATCATATACTACTTATGTCAATATAAGTAGCACCAAGGTATTTAACCTATTATTAATCACTTGTAAGACTAAAATGCTTGCTCTAGTTTCTTAGCTTTCATAGAACTCTATCGGTGTAGTTGCGAAATGATTGCTAGTCTAATTATGGCTAGATCTAGTAAGGATTACACGTTTTGATGAAAATTAGTGGTTGAAAGCAAATGGTAGGAAGTTGTGCACTTGTGATTATAATAATAGTAACGTCAAATAACTTCGTATAATGTTTATACTCAGTGTGATGTACTAATCAATAGATATGTTTTTAATAGAAAACCCAACG